GGTTTCGGTAATTTTAATTTTCCTTCAACAAAACCTCATACATTTGCATCACCTGTCCACTATTTTATCAAAACGTAGTCGTTCATCAACGAACAAACAGAAAATTATTCAAAGAAAGTAAAATTACTGTACTGTTTGTAGAGCTAGAGATAAATTTAAGAAGTTCCAACAAATTTAAATGGATGCGTTGAAATTTTTACATATGAATCGACATTACCTATGAGCGACCATGTATATATGATAGAAATAAAGATTGTCCAATGGTTTTAGAATAACTACTTAAATTTATTATTGTTTTAATTACATTAACGTTAGGTTCAATTAGATTGGACCACCCTGATACCGAAAAACAGTTATGTTTGGTTAAGTGTTAGCCATTCAGTTGTGGTGGTATATTCCTCACTGCTCAAATTAGAGAAAGACTAATATATATATATTATAAACATTTAAACGTTTTAGTATCTCATAACAGATATTTTTTTTTTCAGTTGGCGACGAAATGCTATAAAGCAGTGGGTGATGAAGCTAGAACATTTTATCTAGAGAAAACTTTCGAGTTGGCTTCAACCAAAGGAGACGGGAATATTGATGAAGGTATTTTTTGCATTTAAACGTTTCGGGAACACCTCATACAGTAGGACCCCGATTATCCGGACCTCAGTTATCCGAATTCGCGATTATCCGGACTGCCAATCGCGACGAGTTTTGTTCTAACACTAGCTTTTGCCGCGACTTCGTCCGCGTGGAATAGTAACTTCCGGCATATTTTTGGTTCTTCCCTCATAGTTCCCGTCCTTGCGGGGTTTTCGGAATGGTCGAGTTCCCGTAGAGTTTTCAAGATAAAACCTTTGTTTTTTTTTATTCACAATGAAGTACTCTTAACCACCAACATATTTTTTTTTGTTTAGTTGAATAAAGATTAATATTATTATATTGATACAACCTAAACAAATTATTTCGACCAAATTAGTTACCATAAAAACGGTTTTTGTGAGTTAATTTTAAAAGATAGACATATACTGTCGCGGACTGTTTTTTAGATCATTAAAAGAGCTATTATTCTTTAATACATATTTTAAGGCTTCAAAGATGAAATAATTTCTGCCGTTTTTTACACATTTACCACTATATCTTTGCTCCTATTGGTCGTAGCGTGATGTTATATAGCCCAAAGCCTTCCTCGATAACTGGACTATCCAACACAAAAAGAATTATTCAATTCGAACCAGTAGTTTCGGAGATTAGCGCTTTCAAACAAACAAACTTCAGCTTTATAATATTAGTATAGATTAACATGTCAGAACTTGCATAACGCCACGCCACTCGTGCCGTCCGTGATTTTCGTTGATTCTCGCTCATATGTATTTGTTGTTTTAAATAAACACCTAACATTACATATGTATGGTACAGTCTACATATGTACCTATGCAAAAAGCCCGTTTTTCTTCATATATTGGATTATCCGGACTTTCAATTATCCGGATGCCTACCGACAACAATTAGTCCGGATAATCGAGGTCCTACTGTATATGTTTCTTTAAGTACGCACTTATTGTATTAATAGTATTTATTTGATTAATCGTGATTGTAATATAATGCATAGGTTTAAAGAGTCCCGAGGTTCGTGCACGTCTAGCAATATTTGTGGGGGACTGAACCACCGCCGAAGAATGCTACGTGGAGCCGCTCAGCCAGAATTGGCCATTAATATGTATAAGCAGTTCTATAGATGGGCAGATGCCATCGCCCTCGCTGAACAAGTCGATAGACAAGCGGTGACATCACTCAGGCAGCAATACATGGACTATCTCACGTCAACAGGTGCAAAAATTATAACCGTTCAGAATATAATTTAAGATTGATAAAAATTTTTACGTGCTGCAAAAAAATATTAATAAAATCTTATATATAATCTTCGTTAGAATAACATCAATAATCTATTAGCCCTAGTAAATTATTATTTTGTTGGTACAGGTCGTCTCGGCGAGGCGGGGGTGGTTTTAGGGTCAAGTGGTGACGTGCGAGGCGTGTCGCGTCTGTTACATCACCCCACACTCATGAAAGATGATGAGCTCCTGCAGGCTGTGCACGATCAACTAGGACAGGTGAAGGATGCATTATCAGATACACAAAAAAAAAAATAGGGAAGGAAATGGATCTATTATCAGATAGCTAAATAAAAATGCTACTGAAGTATGAACCCATTTGTAGGAATACCGCTTGTTGGTCTCACTAAGGATAGTCTTGTTGTCGTAATGAAAGATCCTGCTCAATTCGTTGTAGGTCTTAATACACACGCAAATGACCAATGAGCGTTTGTTTTTGATTTAGTATTATTGATTATACTATTGAAGAGATAATGTTAGTGTGAATGATGCAAGTTAAAGACGAGGGTTATGCATTTAACTAAAAAAGAATTTAAAAAGTTAAGATTCACTAATTAGAGACATAGATTATGAACTTTACAATTTGTTTCCTTTGTAGGAGGAATGGTGGGAAATGGCCAGTGAAATATCCGAGCGTAAAGGTGATATCAGAACTGCTGTTGATTACTATTCTAGAGGCAACATAGTTGCGTAGTCGCAAGAGCCGTTCAACTAGCAAGGGAATTTACTATCTATTTGAAACTTTTGTTTTTAATTTTTATTATATCATTTGTTGTTCTTCAGTCCAGGTTGGAAGGAGAGTGGGGCGCGTGGCTTGTATCATCGCGACAGGCGGGCGCCGCTGTACCTCATCTCATAGAGGCTGCTCGAACCGTTGATGCTCTCACTGCGGCTCTGAAGGCACATCATTATAAAAAAGCTCTTCAAATTGTACAGGTATTATTAATAATAACTGGTTACTGAGCTTTGCTGGGTATTAAGGAATTATTAGTATATATTTTGGTTTTTTGTTATTAATTTCGTTTAGGCATTTTTTATTCAACACGTTAAGATGACAGAAAACAATATAAATCAACAATTAATTTCTTAATCTAACTTCTGGTACTCAACAACGCCATCTGCTGTTGTGTCGTTAAAGCAATTAATAAAAGCAAGTAGCAAAAAGTAGTATTACTATTCGCCACTAGATGTCAGGGAGCGTCATATTTTAAACGACTAATTTTTGTTATTCTTTTTTACGTAAAATAACATTTTATAAATGATTAATGATGATAATGATTCCTAGCTAGATCGATTTATCGACATCGTTTGAGCCGATACCGAGATTCCCATAATATATAAATATAGATACAAGAATTGCTCATTTCAAGATATAAGATATTGCTATAGGGCTTGTTTTGATAGATATATATATATATTGTAAATCAATCCATTGATATCTTTATGTTATAGAAGATATAGAATCAATTTCATTTCTTCTTTTACACACGACCTTCGGACCCCACGATACAGGTCTCCTAGTGTGGGGTCCAAAGACAATCGAAATTTAAAATCTGCTGAAAACATAACGCACCTCAACCTTGATGTATTATTGTGTAATCATTGTGTTTTTTTTTCAATAAAGTTATTATTATTATTAAGTTCTTTTACACACGGATTTAACGTCACGATCAATTTATTAAATTTTTAGAATTCAATGTTTGGGTCGATTTTTATTCTATTCTAGTAGGTTTCATATGTCAATTAATATCTTTAATATCTTTTTTGCAAACATTTACAGGAATGGGATACAGCGGAACGAGTTCTCATATCAATGAGTTACAATGTGTAAGAGCGTACAACGCCGCGGGCAAAGTGTCGGAAGGTCTACGTGTTGCCGCTACACATCTGGCAGAAGAAGACACGAGAGATATTTACTGAGCACTCGCTCAACAATCACGACAGGAAGGGCACTTTAGAAAGGCTGAACAAATTGACTAGGAGATACAGGTGAAGCTATCATTCGTTGATTTTAAAGAGAGAGAGACGTTGCAAATGTCACTTCTTCAAGTACGGTCCATGATATTTTAAAATGAAACTTCAATTGATCTTAAAGCTCCTGTATTTCTCAAAGATTCTTCATAATAACATACTTCAATGATACACACTCACTGAACTCTGAATTACGAGTATCAATTCTGAATTCTCAAATCTGGAGTCCGCCGTCGTGCGTCCAGTCGTTATATTTATAACAAGATTCAAACATAGTTCTATTCTCTTTTGATTTCGTTTTACTTTTAACAATAATCATAAATACTAATAAGAATTGATGACAGCCTCAAATTATTTTCAAGTCGCATCCGTTATTAAAGCAGGTAGCGCCGATATATATATCAAATTCATAGAATGCTAGATATGAGCAAAATTAAAAAAATAATTAAAAAATAAATTATTAGATATATTATAATGAGATCTAAGATTCTTGCGAGTATTCATTTAAATGAAGCTAATATTTACGGACTATTACGCATTATATAATATTTTTAAAACTACATATTCCCGACGTTTCGGTTACATTACAGCAACCGTGATCATGGGCAGGCGAGATGTTAACTGAATACACGGGATAGTCTTAGATACATCCTACTAATATTATAATTGCGAAAGTTTGGGAGTGTGTGTGTATGTTTGTAACTTCTTCACGCTCAAACGGCTGAACCGATTTTGATAAAATTTTGATTTTGATGAAGATAATGCTGAAAGTGATTCATTGACAGTTTGTATAAGTAATATATTGTAAAATATAGAACACTCTATATGTTTATTTAAATACTAGTTCCTGTTGGCGACTTCGTTTGAGTTTGTGTCAGAATTAGAAATGTATAGCTGACCGGACTAAAACTATTCAACCTTAAAGACAGTAAATAAGAGCATTTTGTATTTTATCAATTTATTTCTCTTTCGATCAGATGAAAACTATCCTACGTCCTTTCCCTTGTTCTAAGTTATCTCTCCACAAATTTTCAGCCAAACCGTACAGCCGTTCTTGACGTATAAATAGTGTAACTAACACGATGTATATCAGTCGTCGCGTGCATACGCGGCGGATCGGTCGATGTTGTGTTGTGTGTCAAAATGTCTGAGAATTTAATTAAACGTGCGAACTGTAATGTGGTTATTTCGGAAGTATTGGCGTTTATACGCAATAAACACGATGTTATGGACAATGAGAGTCTCGTAAGGATTTGTCAGTCGGCTTTTTCTGAAGAGGAGATTGATGAGGCGAAGAAGTTATTATTTACATCCGTTAAGACTAAACAAAAGTGTATGTCGAGACGTAAACAAAAGAAGCAAAAGGATCTCGATGATATTATTGCTGTGTTTAAGACGATAGATCCTGAACAAATACCTGTGTTTGTGGCCTACGATCTACACAAATTACCGCCTATTTCTTTCGATCACGTAGATGTCACGAAGATATTAAAAGATTTACTAATCTTACAAGCCGAAGTTAATCATATCAAAAACAATTATGTCACTACAGATTTACTGGAAGATTTGAAACAAAATTTTCAAAGGGTTAGGTCACCGTTATCTTTATTTAGCGATGATAAAATTAATATTCGAAGAGGAGGGTATTTTAGAAACAGCGGACCGATAGGACCACCGCACGTGACGTCGGAGCTTACAGCTGACGCGAGCGGCCGCACGACGTGTGACGTCACAGCAGCGTCTCACGGCAATAACAATATTATGAGTGCACCTACTAACAATCAAAACAATGATTTATTTAACAAACCAGCGTATAGTGCTCTGTCCCACTCTCCGGCAATTAATAAAGTTGTTCCGGCTGCACCTGTGAGATCGCCTGTGCTGTGTAGTGAGGGCATTAAGACGAATAATAAAGTAATATGATACTAACAAAAGATACATGTGTTGATAATAAACGCAGGGAAGGTTGGACTGTAGTCCAGCGACGTAAGACACAAAATCGATTGACTGGCAAAACTGGAAAGGCAGTTTCATCGCCCTCGGGAAAATTTAAAGCGGCGGAGACAAAAATTCCCTTACTTATATCAAATGTTAGTAAACAGACGACTGAACAGGATATAGTTGAATATATTGAGAGTAAAACCCAGGAGCATGTAAACTTAGAAAAAATCAGTATGAAACGCGATAAGCCTTATAATGCGTTTAAGTTATTTGTAACTAAAAGTAGGTTGCACATATATCTTAATGACAATCTATGGCCAGAAGGTATAACGTTTCGACGTTTTGTTTTCTTTAAAAAACACTTGGATACAGACAACTCTGCGATTATTGAAGATAAATTACAATCATAATGGATAAAGTGGACAAAAAGAAAATTATTATTTCATCTTTTAATTGTAAATCGATTGTAAGATCGACGGAGTGTGTACGGCGATTTTGAATAAATGGGTACAACTACATACTAGGCCTAATAGTGCCTAGTATGTTAGTTTTAATTTTAATTTTATAGTACTAACATTAGATTTTAAGATTTTGTTACTAACACTTAGCTTTAAATGAATTTTAATATGGATATGATTTGTCTGAAAATAAAAATATATTATTATTATTATATATTATTATATACAAAGATAGTTGGTATAGTTCGGATCAAGTTGTTTGTACATACGAAGGCTAGTTGATGTGACATATTATTCTAAATATTCCAGGTACATGAGCTGACTATGAAGAGGAGGGGGAAGAGATGCAACAAGAAACAAAAGAATCAGATTCAGAAAGTGAAGCGCTGGAGAAGATAGTGAAGGCTGGCCAGTGGCAGCGCTGAGTGGCACGAGCTGGGACAAGGCAGCACATTACGGCTCAGATACGCTGCTCACCTGTTCAAGACAAATTCAGTAAGCATAACTCATTATTAATAATATGAATACAACCTATTGTATTGTTTAATAGTTTTGATTGGCTGAAATTGCAATTTTTGCCTTGTTTCACAATTTTAATAACAATATTAATTTATTTATCTTTTAACTTATAATTATAACGACTGTTTATTTAACTGAAACTTAAGCTAGCTTAAAAGTGTATTATAATTTTTTATCACATTTAAACAGTATAGTGCATTACCATCAACGATTTAATTTCCACGTTCCAACTCGTGGAATGACAGTCAAGCGCTATCCATTCGAGATAATAAAAAAACCTTTTTCCATTACATTATAGGTGCATGTGTTTACTAACCAATCTATGTTCCAGCGTATGGAAGGCGTAGATATTATGAGCGCAGACATACCAGAAGTTCTTTCCCAAGTTCTGGAAGTACTTCGACAATATCTGACAGATGACGCCGGTGTAGTGATAGTGTCTACTAGTGACAGTGCTTTATCCAAGGCTGTATGCGGTGAGATCCTTGTTAGGATATCCGCTGCCCCCAAAGCCCTTCCTGCCATGAAGGAAGCAGCCGCCATTATGGTGATAGCTGGAGCCGATGAAAGGAGCATACAGGTTTTTATATAATGATCAAATTAGATTTGAAAAGAAAACTCAAATAATATATAATACTAACTGCGCCCCGCGGTGTTACCAGCGGATTTCCGGGATTTTCGGGATGTAAAGTAGCCTATGTGTTATTCCTGGATGTCAGCTTCCTGTATACAAAATTTTATCAAAATCGGTTGAGCCGTTTGAGCGTGAAGAAGTAACAAACATACACACACACTCGCAAACTTTCGCAATTATAATATTAATTGTAATGTCGTTTAGTTGTTGTTTAGCTTACAAAGAAAAATTCTTATGTTATGGATATAAAGATACTCGTATGTAAATTAAAATAGAATGTTAATGTGTTTAGGCTATCACACAACTGATGGGTCCAAGGCAGCTCGAGCCCTGCCTCGATACGCTGACATCATTGTTGCTGGTGTTGGCAAGTATTAATACTCTATTATATATTATAAGTATTAATTTTCTTTTGTTTTTATCAATAAAGTCTCAAGAATGATCCAGACAAGCATGAGTTCAAGACTGACAGTATTCATTGAATTAGAACTAATATTTTCGGTTGCTGCAAAGTAAAAGAAAGGTCGGGAGTATATAGGCAAAATATTAAAAAACGCGTCGTAAATCTGAAAATATCAGTTTTATTTCAGTCCAGACAAGCATAAATAAGTAATTATGACATACCTAATAGTTGTTTTGGAAGTTATTCTTATTACAATAATTATTGTGCCTAATTAAAGCTTTTGTTTACGTGACCGTATCTATAATTTTACCACGAATCTTTTAACAGCTTTTATCTGAAGAGGCATATGAAAACCATATTTTGTTTACTCATAACTTAGTAATTTTCGTGAAAGATTTAATATAATATAATGCCATGACAGGTGTCACGTTTTTTACAAATGATAGCAGGATAGATTTGCTAAGTGCTAAGAAATGATCTTCAATTAATGTTACCTATGCCGTAAATATAAATAATGCACAAGTTGCTCACAATGTTTATATGAAATGACTATAACATGTTCATGTAAATGTCTTTAAAGTTATTAGAAGAGTACTAATAATAATTCCATTGTTTGTATGTATGTATACTTTTCCATTGCAGCGTATTAGTTATGTGGCGAGGTGATGGGCGGTGAGGCAGGGAGTCCTTCGTGTTGCTGAACCACAGTTTCGTGGAGCTGCTGGAGGCCGCTGATGATGATGGGACCTAATGTTGGACTACGCCGACTTTGGTATAACTATTGGACCTCTATTATGATTATATTGAACTTATTTTATATCTAGATAAATATTTTATATATTTTTTTATGCTATGGCGTCTTTTGCACTGGAATCGTGGAATATTTTATTGTTGGACGAATATATCTTGAGTATTGTGTGAAGAAAACTAGGAGGAGTTTTGTTTTTAAAAACTTTGAGATAATTATTTTAAAATGTATAAAATTTAACGCTTTTTGGAGTAATTTTAACATCAATTAGTACACTGAGGTTCTGTATAATTATCGACTACAATATTTATGCAAGATCGATTTTCCAATTTATTAAAGTATTTTATATATTTTTGTTATGCTATGGCTTCCTTTGCATTGGAATCCTGGAATATTTTGCTAATGTCATCGTTTTTATTTGTTGGATGAGTCATATTCTTGAGTACGGGGTGCAGGAAACACAGAGTTTGTTGAATGAAATAAAGCCGTTTATTCTATCCGAGAAACATAATTAATTGTTATTTAATATTTTATGTAATTGTTATAAATATTGGGCGAATGTTCATTTTATGTTGACATATACCATGTATTTGTTATATATATTTTAACTAGCTTTTGCCGCGACTTCGTCTGCGTGGAATAGTGACTTCCGGCAGATTTTTGGTTCTTCCCACATAGTTCCCGTTCTTGCGGGGTTTTCGGAATGGTTGAGTTCCCGTAGAATTTTCAGGATAAAACCTATGTTTTTTTTATTCACAATGAAGTACTCTTAACCAACAACATATTTATTTGTTTATTTGAATAAAGATTAATATTATTATGTTGATACAACATAAACAAATTATTTCGACCAAATTAGGTACCATAAAAACGGTTTTTGTGAGTTAATCTTAAAAGATAGACATATACTGGACTGGACTGGACTGGACTGGACTGTTTTTTAGATCATTAAAAGAGCTATTATTCTTTAATACATATTTTTTGTGTATCTTGAACCGTTTTCACGGCGCACGCAACGGAAGGCTTCAAAGATGAAATAATTTCTCCCGTTTTTTACACATTTACCACTATATCTTTGCTCCTATTGGTCGTAGCGTGATGTTATATAGCCCACAGTCTTCCTCGATAACTGGACTATCCAACACAAAAAGAATTATTCAATTCGAATCAGTAGTTTCGGAGATTAGCTCTTTCAAACAAACAAACCAACCATTCAGCTTTATAATATTAGTATAGATTTGACATAATTATTGTTTTTAAATATTTGAGATAATATTTTTTTAATATATAAAAACTAAAGATAGACTTTTGAAGCATTTAGGAGCACCACTTAGTACACTGTACACTTACTTCTGTACAATTTTTGAGGACAAAATTTGATGCAAGTTCGTTTTCCTAATTTAATATTCGATGCAAAATCGATTTATCCTATTTAAGTACTCGATTATCTCCCTACTCTAGTTACGTAAGTTCATTAGAGAATGGATGGTTAGACCTAGCGATAAGAACGCCTTATTGTGCATCAACTTTTATTTTGTATATATTTCATTTTTATTGTTATATTAATAAAGTACATTATTATTATTACATTAGGTATGTATATTTCTAATCGAGTGCACGGCTTGGTCTCAGAGTCCGCTACTGTTGTCGGGTTTGTTGGTCCGAGGGACCACTCTCTCTGAGTTGAGGGACTGGTCGACCAGGTGCGTGTATACACAGACTTATTAACATAACTTTGATATACGTACAAGGAGTCACTAGAATATCTAGGTGGACATTTGAGGCCGAATCATTTCAGTCGAGCATTATCCAATCTGTATAAAGAAAGCGAGGATTTGAAATATCGACATCATTAATATTATAGTTATATAACTAGTTATGTAGTTATTTTATCATGTATCGAAAGCCTTCTCGATTCTTTGTCAATTAACATAATATCGATATTTAATAAATTCAAAGGTATACATATATTCGTCGACAACTAGCTGCTTAAAAGAAATTGTTTTATATTTATGCTCATTGCAAAGAAACCATCGTCACTTAACTGTTGGAGCAAGATTTGAAAGTACATGTATTGTAAGCGTTCAATATAAGCCTCATAATGTATACATGTATATTATAATAATGTCAATTTTCTGTCTATTGAAATACATATTATTGTTTAATTTCAGACTCTGCCATTGGACAACCGTGATACATCTCGTACGTGGGGCCAGACGA